TTTACCAAGAAAGACAGTGGTCTAATAAGTGAGTAAGAAACAAGAGGACCAATGAAAGCTAACTGAAATTTTAAAAGAATAACACTATATTAAAAAAATCAAATCCATAGTCAAAACTTGAGATGAGAGTTCTAATATTGATAAAATAAATTTAAAAAATGAAACTAAACTTACTGAGAATTCAAACTGAGAAGAAGGTATGCAACCCACTGTAAATAAAGGGGTTCTTTTGGTTTTGATGTGTTCAGACCTATGTGTCTTCTTGGTGTTGTTTTTACATATCTTGAAGTTTAGATTGGTGCCTTGTTTGTGAATCTATAGTCAGTCTAATCTGTATTATTGGAAGCAGATTATCTTGGTTCTATTTCTAGTATTGACAAGCCTAAGAAATAACTTTGGCTGCCTTCCTAAACTTCTTGCCTACAAGTCAGAACTAAATAAAATAGCCTATGTCATTCCATAGAAAGACAGTGACAAGTTTACACATGCTATTTTATAATATTAGCTAATTCTGGCGTGGTCCAGAGTTAAAGACACGATGTGCCTGGAGACAAAGTCTGTCTTTCTGATTCAGTAGGAAAAGGAATTCAAGTCTTCAAAAAGCTGTGCAACTTGCTCCCTACTTCTGTTGTGCATAGTGACAGAAGCGGAGGAAGAGCTCTGACTTCCAGACTGCTCGATAGCATGCTGCTTTTACACCCACAAAAAAAAAAAAAAAAAAAAAAAAAAAAAAGAAGAAGAAGAAAGTAAAAGACAAAGAAACTCAGAGACACAGATGAATCATGTAAGGAAACAGTGTCTTTTGGGAAGTACCGTGAGCAGAATTCTCTCAGCTAAATACCAAATTGGAAAGTGAGTACAGAGACCTCTACAGGACCTTCAATGAGAAAAGCTACTGTGAAATGCTCTCTACTATCACTCAGGCTGCATCTCCTCAATGACATCTCTCCCAGAAGTTTTCTGACCTTAGACTATCCCCTCTGGCTACAGCTGAATTAAACTGCAGGAATTAGAGGTTGCAGATGTTTGCTAAAGGAACAGATAACGAGCACTCTCAACTGCTGAGCTGCATACCCCACTATACAGGACACTGAAAGACCTCCCCACCCTGCTTACAGATGCAGAGTTATTTCCTTGTGCATGCCTGGAGGCCCTCTGCCACTGAGCTGCAGGGATACCATCATTAGTTCCCTCTAAAACCATAAAGACTATTAAAACAAATAGAGAAGCAGCAGCATACAGACTACATAGTGAAGGTTTTATAAGGATAGATGTTACTAATAGAGAATTTCATGTATAATTTCCTCAAAACCAGACAATAATAAGATGGGTTAAACAAGACCAAAAGAGCATAAGCGCTTCAAAGGGACAGGCAATGCTGTGCTACAATCAGCAGAAACACTAACTGATTCGTTGTCTGAAATTGACAATTATCCTGCATTTTAACTCTCACAAGCCAGGTGGGAGTTGGGAAAGAACCAAGTGGCCAAGAAGCAGGACAGCCCTCCCAGAAGATGCTGGGACAAGTAAAGGTACACAAGAATCAGCTTAAGCATCCTTCAATTTAGATACTTCCTCCCTACCAATTAAAAAGCACCAGATTCCCTGATTTCAGTGGGATTGCTTTAAGTTTCTCTCCGTTTAGTTTGATGTTGGCTATAGGCTTGCTGTATATCGCCTTTACTATGTTTATGTGCCTTGTATCCCTGATCTCTCCAATACTTTAAATATGAATGGATGTTGGATTTTGTCAAATGCTTTTTCAGCATCTAGGGAGATTATCATGTGGTTTTTTTTTTTTTCTTTCAGTTTGTTAATATGGTGGATCACATTGATGGATTTTCATATATTGAACCACCTCTGCATACCTGGGATGAAGCCTACTTGGTCACGGTGGATGATATCTTTGATGTGTTCTTGGATTCAGTTTGCAAGTATTTTGTTAAGTATTTTGCATCAATGTTCATAAGGGAGATTCGCCTGAAATTCTCTTTCTTTGTTGGGTCTTTGTGAGGTTTAGGTACCAAGGTGACTGTGGCTTCATAGAATGAGTTTGGTAGTGTTCCTTCTGTTTCTATTTTGTGGGATAGTTTGAAGAGACCTGGAGTTAGCTCTTCTTTGAAGGTCTGGTAGAATTCTATGCTGAAACCATCTGGCCCTGGGCTTTTTTGGATGGGATACTTTGGGCAGAGTGCCCAATCTTATGAATCTTATGAAAGAAGTGGGAGCTAGTAAGACCTGGAGAGGACAGGAACTCCACAAGGACAGCAACAGATCCAAAAAGTCTGGGCACAGGAGTTTTTTCTGAAACTGATTCTCCAGCCAAGGACAACTCATAGAGATGGTCTGGAACCCCTACATGGAGGTAGTCTATGGCAGCTCAGTGTCCAAGTGGCCTCCATAGTAATGGGGACAGGGACTGTCTCTGACATGAACTGATTGGCTTGCTCTTTGATCACCTCCCCCTGAGGGGGGAGCAGCCTTACCAGGCCACAGAGGAAGACAATGTAGCCACTCCTGATGAGATCTCATAGACTAGGATCAGAAGGAAGGAGAGAAGGACCTCTCTTATCTGTGGAATGGGAGAGGGACACAGGTGGGGAAGAGGGAGGGTGGGATTGGGAGGGGAGGAGGGAGGAAGGTACAGGGGGGGTATGAAGTGAATAAACTGTAATTAATAAAAATAAAAATAATTTTAAAAAGCACCAGATTTTAGAGGATAGCTCCATCTCTCTAGGTTTTTCACACTTGAACATCTTCATAGTCAGACAAAGAAATGCCCAGGAATGTGAAAGCTGCACCCCCAAGAACACGTGACTCCAGAACAGCATTCACGCTTCATCACAGGTGACTAAGCAACCCCTGTCTTTTTGTAAAAAGCACACATTAGCTGGAATCTTAGCAGACACTACTTGTTCTAAGATTAGAGGACTCTGAATGGTGTACATAATTAAACAACATTAACAACAACAAAAATGCATCTGCATGCAAGCACAGAGGCCACAGGGTGATAGCAGGAAAATTTCCCCAAATGCTTCTCCCCCTCATTTTTTGAGGCAGGGTCAGTCACTGGAGCTGGTGTTTACTGACTGACTGGGACCAGCTGGACTGTGAGCCCTGAGGGTCTGCCTGTCTGTCAGCCCCACCCTCCCAGCATTGGTGTTCCAGGTGCGTCACCATACCTAGCCTGGGGTGGGGGGCAGTGAGACCGAATCTCTCTGTGTAGCCTGGCTGTTCTGGAACTCACTCTGTAGACCAGGCTGGCCTCAGACTCTTACTACTTACCTACCTCCTTAGTGCTGGCACTAAAGGTGTGTACCACCATGTCTGGCCTTTTCCTCTTTTTATTTTATTTATTTATTTTTTATATCTGAATTTTTATGTGGGTGCTAGAGATGTGAACTAAAATTTGAAATACAAATACTTTATCCACAGACCTATTTCCCCAGCTTTCATCTTTTTTTAAAAAATTATTTTAATTAACTATTATTTTTATTTAGAAAATTTATTACATTTTACTTATTTGTGTATGTGTGTGTGTTGCACGCATATACCTTCGCTGCATGTGGAAGTCGGGATAATTTGTGAAAGTTGTTTCTCTCCCACCACATATGTTACAGAAATTAGACTGAGGTCGTCAGACTTGGTGGAAAGTGCACTTACCCAGTGAGCTGCTGGACTGGCCCTCATCTTTGTTCTTTAAGAACCCCCAAAGTAGGAGTTATCTGTTTTTGAGACAACTGAATGCTTACATAAAACCTCACTGTGGGTTAAGTTACTACATGGCCTGCTATTTTAGTGTTTCAAGATAATGAAATATAAAACCTCAGCACAATACATGCCCTTATTTTATGTGTACATACGTGTGTGTGTGTGTGTGTGTGTGTGTGTGTGTGTGTGTGTGTGTATGTGTGTGAATGCACATGTGTATTGCTGTGGTGGGCACAGAGAGATCAGAGGACATCTTCAGGTTGTCTGTTTGGTGTTAGTTCACTGCATCAGGTAGGCTGGCACCTGAGATTTCAGAGTCTCCTGTCTTTGCCTCCCACTATCCTACAAGAGCTGGGAGTATAAATGCTCATGCTTTGTAAAGGGCTTTTATGTGAGGTCAGGTTATTTGAACTTGGGCCATCACACTTGCATAACAAACTTTTCTACCCTCAGCCTATAATTATGTCTTATAAACATTTCTTGATTCTTTTGAAATAAAATTATTTCTATAAAATTTGATTCATTAAAAATTGCTTTATTTGACTGACCTTGAATGAATACACTAATTTCTATTTACCTTTCAGATCTAATAAAAGCTCAAACTAATACTCATTTCTTGGTTACTTAATCTGCCCACATTTTTTAATTAGCACAGAGTTGAAACAATATGTATCTGCTTCATGTTTCAAATGTTCCCACTAGGAACATTAAGGGAAGAATCACAAATAGGTAAAAATCAGAGCTGGGTGTGGAGGCACTTGTCTCTAATCCCAGTACCTGAACACTTGGGAGGTAGAGAAGGCAGGATATTCCTGAGTTCAAGGTAAGCTTAGACTATAGTAAAGACCCTATTTCAAAGAAGCATCTATAAGGTAATCTTTTCTGTATGGCTACAGTGGTAGTTTTCTTTATATTTCTACGAGAAGAAAAATATTACTGAAAGCAAAACAAATGTCTCTTAGTTCAAGTGCTTATAATTGTAACATTATCCAAACTGAGCCACCCATCCTTGAGAAGTTAAAACTACAAATGCAAGGATTATCTCAGGCAGTGAAGATATCTGGTCTCCTCTTTTTCCTTGGGAGATCAAATGAGAGCACACAGTTTCTCCTGGCTTTGTGGTGTGTGTGTGTGTGTGTGTGTGTGTGTGTGTGTGTGTGTGTGTGTGTGTGTGTAGAGACCCTCTTGGGCCTTGCACAGGTCCACAGCGAAAAGGCCTATTGCTCTCACATCCATGTGTGTCATGCTCTGCTCTTCCCAGCTCCCTCAGCACCATGTGCCCCACTTACCCAACCACCATGTCCTTGGGTCCTGCTGTTACAGTGCAGATCCCGTCCTCACAGTGTTTGCCCACCAGGCTGTGGGCGTGCAGGTGGATATTTTTTCCATTTGTGACCAACTGAACAATAACCTTTGCAGGTCCCACATAGTTGCAAATCTATATGAGAAGCACAGTTTTAACAGTTAGTATATTTGACCATATTGTAACATGGAACCAGTGAGCATAAATATAAAATTTTGTAAATGTATACATATGTGACTATAGCTCAACTTAAAAAATATATATGATGAACACATGACAGAGTGGAAATAAATCAAAATGTTTCTGAGGGTTGCTTTATATGTTGAGACTATATGTCCAGGAAAGAAGCCATTGACAACATAGTATTCATCCTTAGATTGGACTGACACAGGGGTCCTTAAGTAAGCCCTCTTTACTAACCAACATTGCCTTTTCTCTGAAACCTTGTCACAATTTTTGGTGACAAAAACTAGGTAGACCATGCATGACAGGGGATAGATGACTGGTGAAGAGAGATAAACAAGACGTATCCTAACTCCTTGCCATGTGATTAGGCCAGAATGGTAATCCTGTTCAGGGACTTGGCTCTTTAGGCTGTTTTTAACAACTTAAGCCCAGGGCTTGGCCCACAGTCACCTACCAGTACACTCAAGTCGTCTTCAGTAGTTTGCCCAGCCCTGGGCTCTGACACTTACACTGTATATGTTCTGGCCTCTGTAAGTGTCTTAAATAAAAAAGTAAACTTTCTGACTGAAAATTCATAGGTTTCACATCTGGCTATTTAGTGCTTCTTTCATAAAGTTAAGTTTTCCATGTAAAGTAATTATTTTAGTTGTGCATCTTTAACACAACAAGAACAGCAGTAAAAAGGAAATAAGTCTTGTCTGGTTGACTATCTGACTTCCACAACATAGATCCTTTTACCAGAAAGCCAAAACATGAAAATCACACCAATACGAAAGCTCAAAAGGCATCATTCCCCCCTTCTGGATTCTATTAAATCAGATCCTGCTGTAAATCCTGCCTGTTGCTGGAAACATTGTATGTCTGGAATACAATGTAAATGTTTCTGATGTACAGGTGAAGAGCCGGCATCTGCTGAAGCTTCTCCTGAAGACAAACAGCTCCCTCAGCCAGCTCACTTACAGTATCGTCACCATTGACTGGGTCCAGACTCCACCCAGCCAAGGCGCCATAGTTTGTTTTTTTTCCTCAATATGGATTTTCCCCAATGTAACCTTTGACTGTCAGAGCTGAGAAGCTGATCACTGCTGGTGTTATTCCCCAGAGGGCATGGAGAGAGATACCACAGCCCTGAACAATGGTCTTCCCTCTGGTCAGCTAGGCAGCTGCCCTAGACTCCTCAAGGTCTCCCTGCCTGATGCATCGTTATCACAGATTATCTCTGAACCCATCCAAAAATTCATGAGTTCCTTTGGGCCTATAAACTTAATCCAGTTATGGTGTATTGGTGTATGGAAGTAGATCTTTAGGAGGTAAAGCCAAATATACCCTAAGGGGCAGCTGCTCATCTGCAGAGCTGTGACTTATACAAAGAGGAAGGGATACTTCAGCCAGGATGGCCTGTCTTGTTATGTCATTTCCTGTCTTGTCCTGGGTTGCAGTTCCCAGCAGATGTGGCTGCCCAACCTGAAGCTTCAGCCTTCAAACCAGGGGCCAAAGAAACCTTATTCTGTGGAAATCACTTGTCAACTATTGCAACACAAAATGGACCAGGACATATTGCTTCCTGAGGGGCAGGGCCATGGACAGGACTGCCTTCCCATAGTTACAGAGCAAACTAATACAAAGGAAGATTTTGCACCAGCTTTAACCTTGACTATTCCAAAGCATGAACCACTTTCTTAGGTGCAGAACTCAGAACTCTCTCCGTTATTAAGATGAAGTAAATTCAGCAAGTAGTCTTTCCTAATAGGCCAAATGCCTTCTCATTTAAGTGTAGGGCAAGGAATAAAAAGTTCTGGTTTTGTTCCAAGGCTGACTGTTATTCTACATGACCCCTGAATTGCTGACACAAGTTCTGATGATCATATCTGAAACCCATCTCCTAACGATCAGCAGAGGAGCACCAACTTTTCTATATTACATTTTTATGAAATAATAAGTTTGTAAAAAATATCAAGTATGTACAGGTCACAGTCTTTCTAGTGTTAATCTACATATGAATTCATTAAAATAGCATACGTGTAAGAATTTGTTTCAAATTATTAAGCAAATGATTAGTATAGCCTCACTTGTCCATTGATTAGAATGACTTTAGGTTATTTCTAATTTGGGATATTATAAACAACTGTGATATATTATAATAATAAATGTTTCATTACAAAATTGTTAAACTGTTTCTATGAATAATTAAATGTAGAGCCTTATTTTCACTGTAACCAAGGAATTAAAACCTACCATAAAATTACTTTATATATATATATATATATATATATATATATATATATATATATATATCTTACTGAAAACGATCTTTTCATACAATGTATTCTGATTACGGTTTCCAATCAATTATATTCTCTGATATCCTCACCACCTCACCTCTCATCAGAATCCACTCCCTTTTTCTCTCTCTTAAAAGAAAAACAGGGGGAGATACAAGATGGCTGTGCCGGGAGGACACTGTGTCTGAGGAGCAGGACAGCAGTGTTGCCACAGCGACCAGGAGACTGAACTCTGGGACCTAAAACACCAGCAATTGTGATTCCCAGGTGAGAGGAAATCCTACAGCGTAAAATTCAATCGGGACTGACCTCAGGTCACCCAGTCAATCCCTGTAAAAGGTCCTGGGGACCGGCAGACACACAGCCCGAGCACCAATTTTTAACTGACAGTGTGCACAGGAACAGTGTGCAGCAGAGGAAGGCGCGAGGAGGCAAGCTTGGTGAAGTCAGGCAGGCTTTCCACTTAAGCAGAAAGAATCCGTCCAGGAAGGACAGCCACTCTGGAATCTGAACCTTCTGATGCTACCGTGACAGGGCGGTTAGTCACTGGCACTGGCGGAAAGAGGTGGGAGGTGTGTTCAAAGAGCACTCTCTTGTTTTTCTTACTACTAACTTCACGGTTGAAGGGCGGCAAGAATGAGGAAGTGGGAAGACTCTGAGGTAAGGGACCTGAAAGGTTTGCCAATGACTAATGTGCTGCCTGATTCATCTGAGAGTCCAAGTCAGGATGGCATCATTTTGGTTTTTACACAGACCACAGAATGAAAACAGGGAGGTCCCTGGGCTTTCTGTACTTTCCAAGACACTGCCTGAGAGAGAGAGAGAGAAAGAAAGAAACCTGAAGTGTGGGGACAGCTGTATGGAACAGGCAAACCTAGACATGATTACTTGGGGAACCACTGTCCATGATGCCACAGTGTCCAAGAGGAATTTGCTACCAATTTAGAGATTTATTCCATGAAGACAACGAAAATATTAATTCCCAAAGAATAGTCTCTTAAAAATAAAGTCTATAGAGGACAACTGTGTCTATTAGAAAGATCTTTCTGAGAGTAGAGTCTGGACATAGACTCTTAAATCCCTGGTAGGCTTTCAAGAAGACATGGTGCCGCCCTGCATGGTCACCCGATCAGAATGGTAAGAGCATGGAGTTCAGGGACAAGCTGGCTGGGAGGGACAGCTGCACACTGTGTGACCCTGCTTGCCTTACCTCGTATTCAGTGGGTCACTGATGCTCAATGAGTTGTGGTGAGGAGGACAGACATGAAAGCTGACAGAGTCTTCATAGCAGAGGAGAGAACAAGCCTCAAGGGCTAGCTTCGTCAATACTGCCATAGACTCTTCCACTCAGGGGGTCTTGAGTAATATAGCTGCCAAAGAAGGTGTTTAAAACATCCATTTGAAGTGAGGGGCTGAAAAATACTCGGCCCTCTTCTCTTCCTAGGGAAAGTCTTTTTCTACATTGCTGTGTTTTGTTTTGTATAAATACATTTGTTTTCTGTCTTTCTTTTGCTGTGTTTCATTTCTCTAGAAAATACTATGTTATTCTAGTGGCAGCTGTCATTCTTGGGAACAATCAGACTTCCTTGTCCTCCCAGATAAAACGTAAGACTCTTCTAGAAGTTCTGTGTCACAGGCCAGAGCTGCTTTTGAAGTAAGAAGTACGAGACATGGGCTCAGGTATGTGCCTCTTGGTCAACATATCCTTTGACCTCAAGTAGCCTTGACCTACTGTGGAAAAGCACACGCTGCTTCTTCAGTGGGTTAGAAGAAGTGAGCACTTTAGAACTTTCTCAGAATCAGGGTTTCTAAAGCTTTCTATGTGAATCTGGCTTTGGTAGAAAGTAGAAGCAGCATAAATATAAGACGTCATACACAAAGTCATTCTTTCCTACTTAGATTTTTTTTTTTCATCCTCAGGGTTCTAACAGAACCTGGGACTGGCTCTGCTTGTGAACCTGACTTTGCTCTCTACTATACAAAGCAGAAGGGCATGGTCAAGTTAAGAGCTCTCAAAGACAGACTCCAATTCCCCAGCTGTCAGGGAGTGACATCTCTCTGTGTGTCAGCTTTCACACCTTTAAAATCAAATCAGTGGCACAGCACCACAGGACTGTTTTAAGATTAAGTGAGTTAATACAACGCTTGGTCCTTGATGGTCTCAACAATCCCAGATATAAGCTCTCTTCCATCTAAGATTCTCCAGCTTATTCTGTGAACGCTCCTCAAGCCCCTTCTAAATGTTCCACATTGTAGAAGGTTGGGGAGCGCCTTGTTCTGCACCTTGCTCAGAACAAACCTGATCCCTCACTCTCATGGGAAGCAAACAGTGTTATAGGTACTAATCAAATAATTCCAGCAATAGTAAAACCTAACTGGAGAACTCATCAAAAGGAATTTCAATAGGGTTTCGACATGGTCGGGAAGTGAGAGAAAGCTTCCAGTGTAACTAACGGCAACTGAGATTTGAAGGTAGAGCAGAGTGCAGTGAGAAAGGGGCAGGTGGAGGATGAGGCGGATCGGCAGGCACTCTTGACTGGTGGAGAGCATGCACAGTGCTCTCAGCCCGTCCCTGACCCCCCAGCCTTGCTCATCAACCCTGCACAGGAGTTCCTTCAGGAGCTCCGTCAATAGCCAGTGTCTCTCCTCTTTCCCACCGACAATGAG